TGATACGATACGATATATGAAATCGATTCTCATACCCAGCGATATGATATTTGCCGATACCTCAAAAAATTCTACGATACGATTTTGATACGATTCGATTCAGGAGTATATCGATCGATTTATCAATTTTATATTATGTACCTATTTTAAACAACTATATACAACTCACAAATGCAACCAAAATATATAACATGAACATTTATCTGAAATTTCCACATCAATTGGGACATTCGAAACAAAACAGGCCTACAGTTTTATTTATTGTTATTGTTTTTTTTTATAATAAAGAAAAATAAATAATTGGGGAAAAAAATCAATGTCATAAGATCAGTAATCTTATGACATGACAACAGTCAAGAAAGTATTTCAGGCATCTGTGCTAAAATGTGCAATGTGTAAAATTGTGTAAATCCTCATTAGGAAAAAACAAAAAGGAGGTACTCCAGTTGTACAAAAAAATACATTAATGTAGAAAAATAAATATTAAAAAAAACACAAAAATAAAGCTGTTAACATATTTTTAAGATTTTATATTTTTTGGCTGCTACTATAGGCTCAGTGATAAGAATCTTTTCTACAGATAAACAAATTACAAGCAATAGCAGAAAATAAATACAATAGAAAAAATAAACAAATAAACAGTGCTTTTCTGGTTTTTCAGGTAGGTCTAAAATAAATTAAGGTACATAAATTTAATAATTATATGTAAAATAAACCTGCATAGTCTTCACTATATAAATTAAATGTAGATTAATCCTTATTAAAGTTACAAAAGTTGTTCAGTCAAGAGCAGTGAGAGATTCTGTTTTCTTTGTCAGAGGTTTATTGTAAGTCTGCTTTCACTTAAAGACCGAAAGCACGGATCCAATATACTGATACACACGCTGATTTTCTTTCTCAACTGTTTATGTTAAGACATAGGCCTAACTGACTGTATTTGCTTGGATATTTGCCAAGAGGCGCATGTTGATGTAATCTTGTCTGTATTTGTTCATCCAAGCACAAAAAAGCTGAAGAGAGCTTAATTCAATATTCGTGCGCTGTCTGTGTGTGCGCAGAAAACTTCTCACACGGCGCTCGACAGATCCGTCAACTGTCCCGAGCGTCTTTTATGCTCACCTTGTGCCTTCAGGCAGTCTTATTATCAAGTCCTGACATGTGAGTTTGAACGAGAATGCACGCGTTGGTAGTAATGCATAGACTGACATTGCGTGAAAATGTGGACGGTGGCAAAATAAGGTGCCATGTGTGTACATCGGGGCGGAACTCTGCCATGCGCGATACAGAGAGCAGAGGAGAATTGTAAACGCGCGACCATGTAGAGACAGAAATGACATGCCGTCATGTAAGTAAGATAAATAACATAAGGCTATTTAGTTTTTTTTATAAAAAGTTATAGACCTGTTATATAGGAACAGGTCTATAACCGCCCCCCTAATATAATGGCAGGGGAAACACTGGGAGTAGTGAACTCCAGAGTTCATTTTCGGGCCAGTCGATCTTGGATTGATTGTTTTGGTGCAGAATGGAACCAATGTGTTCATATATGCCTAAATGAACCAAACTATTGGAGAAAATCAAGGTGTGAAAACACTCATATACATGATCATGTAAACCTGATAGCTTTAGTTCTATCATGACAACTCTCGGGAGATTGTAGCGTGGTGATGGATATGACAATGTTAATGTATTTGGTCTTGCCGGAACAGATCTTCTACGCTGCTGCTGAATTGCTGCTGCTGTTGGTTATTGCTGTAGTTGTAGATTATTGCTGCTGCTGCAAGCAAGTACAGGAACTTGCTACTGCCAATACATAAGCCGATATGGTGCTGTGAGTATTTAAGACATACTGCTGCTGCGCAAATAACATATAAAATAGCCCGTAGCAGATCTATACAGGTGGAGCTGGGGAAGGTGGAGGGTTTCAGAGGAACTCTGAAAGCGCACTGCAATGCTCAAGCGAATGCTAATCAGCCATTTAAATGTAAAGCAGCAAGCTCATTGACTGTGTATGCAACATGAACCAATCAGCTTGTGACAAGTCGTTTAATGCTAAGAATATCATCAGTTTACATTAAGGACCCATCAGCCTGCGCTATCTAGAGTTTCATGACACAACTTGGTATTTTACACTGGCAGCCAACAGTGGAATAATTAAATGTTTTTAAATAAAGTTTCTTATTCTCAGCAAGGCTGCAATTATTTGATCAAAATTACAGTAAAATAGTAATATTGTGAAGTATTACAATTTCAAATAACTGTTTTCTATTTGAGTATACAGTATTTTAAAGTGTAATTTATTGCTGTGATCAAAGCTGAATTTTCAGCATCATTACTCCAGTCTTTAGTGTAACATGATCTTTCAGAAATCATTCTAATATGCTGATTTGCTGCACAAGAAACATTCCTGATTATTATTGTCAATGCTGAAAACAGTTTTTATGAAAACATATCATTCATTTTTTTTTCAGGATTCTCTGATGAATAAAAAGTTCTGAAGAACAGTATTTAGCCGTCCTTGCTAAATAATAGTATTCATTTCTTCTTCATAAAGGGGTCATATGATGCGATTTTACATTTTTCCTTTTTCTTTGGAGTGTTACAAGCTCTTGGTGCATAAAGAAGATCTGTAAAGTTGCAAAGACTAAAGTCTCAAATCCAAAGAGACATTCTTTATAAAAGTGACCTAAAACGGCTCGTTCTAACACGCCCCCACATGTCTACGTCACGATGTGGGAAGATTTGCATAACGCCGCCCAAATGTTCACGCAAAGAAAGAAGGCGTAATTTTTATTCTCGCTGTAGTATTGTTGCTGCCGCCGCCATGTCGTGAAGGCACTGTGTGATTTGTTGTGAAAGCGAAACTACTGTAATAACGACTTATATTTGGACTATTGTAGCCTGGTCGGGTCGTCACTGCTGCGGAGTAACACATACCTACATGAAACGCCAGAGACATAAACTTAGAGAAGTAGCTCCGGTTGGAATGTTCGCGGGATGTGTGCAGTTCTGTTTATTAACCGCTAGAGCGCCAAAAGTTACATAGTGCTGCTTTAAGTTGTATTTACAACACTGTTCCAGAACAGTTCAATCTAAATATTCAGATGTGTGCAGCGCATTTTGCGGAGGATGAGGACTGTTTCCTGTGAGAGTAGCCTACACTGCCGGTGTCTGTTTCTATAAAGTGGGGCAGTTCCAACTTTGCAAGGACAGTGTGGCGCTTCTGACTCACAGTAACAGTAAGTATGTTTTTTATATTTAAATGATTTGCCACTGATGATTCAAACGTGAGTTTTGAGCAGTGTAGAGTAGCGCTTGTTGTTTGTTGTTTCTCCGATCACAAATGCAGACATGGTTTTATGTTTACGCGGCGCGATGCAACGCATAAAAAGACAGTATAAGTCATTATAATCCATAATTATGTCCCCACTGGATGCAACAAATGCCTCGTTTGTAATGGGTTTTATTGTTTTTGTCTCATCGTGCCGGGACACAGGGCATCACAGTATGTTAAGGGGCATAACATTTCCGTCACACGCTGGGGGTATTCAGCCAATCACAACGCACTGGATAGCTGGCCAATCAGAGCACACCTCGCTTTTCAGAACGATGAGCTTTGTAAAAATCGACGCGTTTCAGAAAGGCGGGGCATAGAGGAGAAACAATAATGTACATTATGTGGAAAATAATGTGTGTTTTTAAACTTAAACCACATAAACACATTACATTACACCAAATACACAACATAACGTTCTTTTTAGCAATGTCATATGACCCCTTTAA